GCCAGGCAGCTGCACAGCAGCTGCAAAAAGAGGAGAAGCTGCATCATGGCTGCAGCCGCACCGGGAGCTATAGCTGTAGAGATCGCTCGAGCTCAAAGCACTGCAGGCGGATCAAAAGAATTCCTCATGCATGCACAGACATGACAGGCATCCCGGGCATTCGGAACAAAGAGGAGCCAAACTCAAGGCATCCTATATAGGAGCCCACTGCAGGCATCCTAGCCATACCCACTGCCGGCAACCTGGTATATATCTGCTGACACAAAGGAGCCCATGGCATCCTTAGGAGCCCACTGCAGGCATCCTAGTTACCTGGTATATAAGGAGCCCAGACTGCAGGCATCCCTATATAGGAGCCCACTGCAGGCATCCTGTCATCTGCTGACTTCTGTAGAGGAGCCCACACTGCAGGCATCCTAAAAACTATCTCACTTACTTCTAGGAGCCCATGCATGCACTCGCAGGCATCCTCTATACAGGAGCCACTGCGGGCATCCTAGAGCTGACGCCCTATAAACCCGAATACCCTAAACCCTGCACCCTGATGCAGAAGCAGTCGTATATTCGATCCTCAAAGTGCAGATCTCACATCCGGCTGTAGTCGACATGCAATGCCATGACATACTTTTGCATGGCCTTCTGTACGGTGGCTACAGGGTTCCTCGACCGGGTGCAGACACTCACCATTCGGCGAACGATTTGCATTAGGTCTTCTTGCCCATAGCAGGCACCGACCCTTGGACTTAAGAAGTGACTTTCCAAGAGTCCGTGGCACGGCCAGTGAGCCTTAAAGGTCACATTGAAGGCCATGTCTCCCTGCAACAAAAACCGCTTCATGAGACGACCCATCAAGCTGAAGTACTCGAAACCAAGGACACAAAGCCGGAGGCAATCTTGGTAAAGGAGCACGGCTCGGCTGGCATCCTGATCTAGCAGCTCGTCCATTTCCACTGCTCGCTGCAAGAGAAGCAGCACTTCAGCATCCTCTTGTGAGCGTGGAGACATGTAGTGCAACCTCCACACCTCAAGCAATGGCCTCAGGCAGTGTTTAATCTCGGCGGCCTTGGCCTTCATGGCAGGGAATGCCAAGAATGGCTGCTGCCAGTTGGCCACGAACATAGACCTCAATCAGTCTTGCAGTCGAAGACAGCTTAGAAGAACTCGTGCAGTGCATGAAAATGCATCCAGGCTTTTCCGTTAGCTGCTAGGTCCCCGCTGCAGCTGGAGTGCCAGTGTTGGCTAGACGAACAGGCATGCGAAAGCAGACCTCTAAGATAATTCAACGGATGCAGAGATCCTCGCAGCCGCTCACTGCTGCTTCGACACCAGACCACGGCACATGGACATGCTCTCCTGGAGCTCCGAGACTGCCCCGGCGGCCTGCAGGGCACACAAGGAATGACATGGGACAGGAGTGGACTAATTGACCGGCCTCCCGAAGCAAGTTGCTGACGAGCAAGCTGCTTACGGGGTTCTTCTTGTGTGTCCCGAAGAAAAAAAACTTCGTGAAGCTCCGAGATCTTGGCCAAGACCGCTTGGAGGTTTTTTTGCAGGAGGCCCTTGCTGGTCACGGCTGTGGCCGTCGTGCTGGTGATGGCGAGAAAGATCTTCTCGCCAGCCTGGCGATTCGTCTGGAGCAGTGCCAGGGACTGTTCCAGCTTGCTTCTGTCCTGCTCGCTGAAAGAAGTCGCCGGGGCAAGGCTGCCTCCAGCTGGGTCGCTGGGCAGGACAAGGTTCGGCGGCAGGAGGCTCAAGTCGTAGCCCTGCACGAAGTCCTTGAACTTCGTGTGGACTTTTTGGTCCACGTCTGTAGAACCTCCGCAAGCAGTCTCACTGCTTGCCCCCTTCTCGTGGGTCACTTGGATCTCCTGCAGAGCAGGAGAAAATTAAAGCAGAGGACGAAAAGGAAAGAAAACACGACGGGCCTTGAAGACGTAGTAAGTGGTGCCGTCCTCCGTGACCTGCCTCACTTCCCCGGTCTGCAGGGCTTGGTCCAGCCCTTCCTGGCCACCACAAGCAACCCTGGCTCTGGTCAGGGTGTAGCCGAGGGCCTTGTCTTTGCCTTTGACGTTTTCGAACTTTTTGTGGGTTTCCTTCCACCAGTTGTTCTCCAAGCACAGCTCGAACCGCCCTCCTTTGCCTCGCTTCACCAGGCGGTTCACGGCCTCCGTCGTGTCCTGGCGACCGCACTTCTCGAGGTAGCTGAGGAGTTCCTCCGGCACTTGGCCAGCCTTCTTCCTCTTCTGCAACCACCGGCTCTTGCAACGGTCTCGGCCCTCCTCGTTGTCCTCGGCCTCGTCGCTGTGCTGGGCCTGCTCCTTCGGCTCCAAGTCGTCGGCAAACTTCACAAGGTCGCAAGCAGTGAGCTTCCTTTTCGGTGGCTCGCTGGCCGTGGTAGTGTCGCCCTCGGCACCAGTGGCCTCCGACTTCTCGGGCTTGGCCTTCTTGGGCTTGGCCCCTGCCTTGGTCTTGGGCTGGGCCTTGGGCTTTTCTTCCACCTCTGCAGCCTTCTCAGGTTCGTCCGTT